AATCATCAGAGCTTGGCGAACACTTTCATAAAGAAAGCCCCTTCGAAAGGTTTGTGATTCTTTTCCCTTCTTTCCTCCGGATTAAACTTGGTTTTAATCTCGAGAAGAGCCACAATCTCGCTTGGTCGTGATTGTCGCTTCCGCAATTGTTTCCTTCGTGAAACAAGAGCGTAGATATACTGTCGATCGGGTTTGATCTGCGGCGGTCCACGGACTAGCGCGTCCCCGGCACAGGCAAAGATCCCACGCAAAGCAGCGGGAGATAAACTACTGCTTCGTTTTGTTTGATAAAGTTATAATCTTTATTTTTCGTTGTAAGAAGATCTTATAAAAAGGTCAACTTTTCTTTCAGTTTGAACTTGTAATCGATAAACGGTGTAACAGGTTTTGGAAACAATAGAAAAGATAACTTTTGACACAAACATGCCATTGTATAGTAAAAAGAAAAAAATATCGATTTTTTCTTAAGCTATGATAAGTAAGTATCATGTGTATATATTTTGTCCACTATAGTGATTTTTCACCTTTTGTATGGCTTGTTAAGAAATTATTATGTGGATGCCTTTTGTCAATTACAGTAATTTTACTCCTCTTGTCTGGTTTGTCATATATCGTAATATTATTGGTCAATAGCTTCGCGTTAGTTACTATTGCAAGGTCATCTGTATCTAATTATATAATAAGTTTATGACTCCTTTACTATTTAAAAAATAAAATATAAAATTTTATAAGACTTAAATAATATTTATTGTATCTTCTATGAAAAATGCTTCTTTGATTGGAAAAAATTGTTTAATATGTTCTTCAATGGGAAATCAGTAGGCGCTTTTTTGATAGATGTCTCTTGTTAATATCAATTCAAGTGACTCATGTAAGTTTAGAATTTTGGTTTAATTTTCTTTACTTTTTCATTTAAAATAAAAATAGCTAGATCCTTTTGAAGGATATCTCTGAACTTTTTAATAGTTTCTCCATATGTAACTCATTTTATTTTTTTACCCTATAAATATTATTAACATCAGAGAATATTTTTTTACCCTGTGAATATTACTAACATTAGAGAATAACATTAATAAAATATAATCAATTAATGCTAAGCTATTATATTACAGTCTTTTATCAATTTTAAGTGATTTAGTATTCTATCGAGTGCTACTACCAGGACCCAAAAATGTGACAGATCCATGGGACAGATGACGTGGCAGATACAGCTGGAAAAATATTAATTAGCTGCAAAATAGTGAGTTGGAAATATGTAAGGGTACTTTGGTAATTCTGGTGAGTCATCTCTCCTATCAAATAAACGCAGCAAAATTAGATTTCCCCCAAACCCAAAGCTCCTCTTGCAAACCCTCGTTCTCAACCCTCGTGATCGATTGCTAACGCCGCCACCCGCTCTTCTTGTGACCGGCGTCATCTTCTTGTTGCCGGCGTCACCACTTCCATCTCCCGCTCATCACCACCGCCTCTCCTCAACAATGTCATCACCATTAAAATGGTGACACTAGATTGTAAAACAACATAATTGAAGCTATCCAAATGATGGGATGTTCTTAATTTCTATACAAACTACAGAGACTTTCAATTTAATGAAAAATTCAGAAATTAAAATTTACAAGGACAAAATTGGAGAATTGTTCAGGCAATTTGAGGCTTTTTCTTCACTTAAATGAATGAAAGATTGGCGCTTTTAAAATTTCTGAAATTGTCCTAGACTTCTCATTATTGTTGTCCAGCGACGGAGTAAGGACACCCAACTACGATGGCTGCCTCTCCTCCCCGGTGATCGCCCCCACCGAGGATACGCCGGCACCGGCGCGCTCTTCGTGCCTGCGGCTACAACATAACGAAGAAGCGTGCTGATCCGAAAGAATCAGTCGACCTGAGGCAAATGCGAGTGCGCGAGCCAGGAGACCAATGCGTCGAGAGGCGGTCACCTGGAGATGGGCCAGTAGTAACCAGGTGCTCGGCCTCGCAACGAGGACCGTTTAGTCTACCTCGGGCACAACCGCTCGCCGAGCCCTGCCGCGGTGGTTGGGGGAGAAAGTAGCGAAGGCGAACTTGACGAAGACCGGGAGGTGAGAGAGGTGCGGAGCCGGGGCTGGAGGTTCGCGGGAGCCGACCTTCCTCGCGAGGGGGGGGCGAGGGGGCCGGGGAAGAGGCAGCATTATTATTGAGCGAAGAAAGAGAGAATTGTAACGAGGAAGATGAAAGATGTTGAGGAGATAGAAAGTTCTTACCCAAACTAACCCTATTAAATATCTTTAGGTGCCAGCTTGGAATATGCCAACTCACTTGTCCCTCGTAAGGGTCCCATAATTTGGGTCCAAAAGGAATTACTCTTTAGACAATGATATTAAATTTTAATCTATCAATATGTTTTTTAAATTTCATGGTTTTTTTGTAATTTTAAACTTTTGAGGTTGTTTTTACCTTTTTTGAAACTATGAGGGTGTTAATTGTAAAGTTTAAATTTTAGGGGGTTACTACTAATTTTTAGATTTTATGTTTGCAGTTTTAAGTTTTGAGATGTTTTTGTGTAAATTTTGAACTATTGAGGGTGTTTTGTACAATTTTTGAAACATTTTAGTTTTTTGACATTAATTCATGTATTATAGTATGTTAGCTACTTACTATTTCTTTATATTTTTATTATCGTTTAAACTCATTGGTGTTTACATGATACTATCTTTCTCTATCATCCCTAAGGTTTAGTTGCTGCGACAAAGAGCTTTCTACGGTGGGGAAAGGGGAATCTATGTTCAAGTTCGATGGTAATCCCTAGAATTAGTGTATGTTGTTGGCAAGTTTTGAGGGTGTTTTTTTTTATAATTTAAACTTTTGAGAGTATTTTTATAATTTTTGAAATGTTGAGGGTGTTAATTATAAATTTTAAATTCTTCAAAGGATATTGTACCTTAATTTCTAAATTTCATATTTGTTATTTTAAGTTTTGATATATGATAGTGTTTTGTATAATTTTGAGTAGTTCAGAGTATTTTATGTAATTTTTGTAAATTTTTAGGTTTTTTTTTATTCTTATAATATTTCATGTAACATATTAATCCTATTTTTTAAAATTATTTAGCTATAGGTAATTCATGTGGGATTAAGTAGGATATAATTTATAATTATGATAGATTAAGATTTAAATAAAATATTTAAAAAAGTGAAGGGTAATATTGACCAAGGAAAGATTATCCCGAATTCATGCTTTTTAGAGGAAGTATATA